ATTTCATATGGGGTGACAGTTTTGAAATTGACAAATCTATATGTGTAACTTTGAGTTGTCCCCCCCCATACCCCTAGGTACTATCAGCAATGAATATTTATCTTTATTTGTTATAGAAAATTTTTACCATAATAATTACAAGCTTAAAAATTATCAATATTTAAAAAAATACTTGATTTAAATGCAAAAAAAAACAAGTGCATACTAATTATGAGTATTGTTATTATAAAAGCCATATAATATTGGCATTTTTTTGAGAGGTGTATTGAATGTTTTGATTAATCTTTCTATTTCATCAATGTCATCACCATTTTCTTTGTCATCACTGTTATCACTATTTCTATCACCATTATCATTTTTCTCTATGAGTGCTCTCTCAAATAATTTAAAGTTCCTTAAACTTTCCAAAATATTTAATTTTTTGAAACAGTTTACAAAATTTTCACCTGTTATTTCACTGCGAACAATCAGAAGTTCTATTTGTAGAATCTGATTCATTACAAAAAGAGGTGGTATCTTCCTTTCTAGCACATATACATCCATAGTAGTTCCTAATGGTAAAAATTGTTAGTTTTTTATAATCATGTACATAATTGATGTGCATATAATTTATTGGAATTAGGAATATTACCATGAATGTGTAATCCGTAAAATTTTAATTTGTTTAAAGTATTTAAAATGACCCTGTCAGTAAGATTTTGATAGTTGATGTAATTATAAATATAATCCCAAGAGTCTTTACAGTAACATCCTAATCTCCTATGGTCCTCAATTGAATGAGCTTCATCTAACTAGGGTTTTTATTCATGAATATCATTAAGGGGGTTACACACTATTAAACAACAAAAAATCCCTTAAAAACATGAGTTGATCACTTGATTTTAATAGTGTGTGACCCCTTTATGATATTCATGAATATCTAACATCCAAGGTCCATTGGATATCTCCATATAAATAATCTCAAAATTTGAGTTCTCGAGTTTAGTTTCATATATCCAAAAGTTATCTAGGACCAAGCTGATTATTTCTATTCTTGGTGGCTGTGCTTTCAACTGACACACAATAAAGTTCTACTCCTTCTATGTTATATCATAAAAAATCCACCAAATGACATACAAAGTCATGTGAGAATAGGGTTTTTATTCATGAATATCATTAAGGGGGTTACACACTATTAAAACAGCAAAAAAACATGAGTTGATCACTTGATTTTAATAGTGTGTGACCCCTTATGATATTCATGAATACAAACCCTATGTGAGAATGTACCCTCTGTAATTGATGACTTCTTTTTCTTGTAATCAATCTTTCTATTAGTAGAAAATTGATAAATAAATACATGTGAATTTCAATCCAGAATTACTTTTTCTTGATTACAAGTAGTTTTTTTTAGAACTTGTTCATATAACAATTAAAGAAAGAAAATGTTGTACTGTACATACATGGTATTTAGAAAAAATTTTGTTACTTTACATAATTCTAACAGTTCTGTAGACATCCCATTCTTATATTTTTTCTTGATCTTCATTTTGTCATAAAATTTTGCTATATACCGTTCATAAGATAAAGGAAGGTCAAAAATATTATCCAAAATAAAAAGGTTATCCCAATATCTTTCCTCTTTCAATTTGATGACAGTTTCCTTCTATTTCTTCTCCAATTCTGACTTTAACACTATTCCAGATAGCAATAATTCATAACCATTAAATGATTTCATGTCAAAAAACTTGCTTATGACTTTTACCACCTCATTACAATCATTGTCATACTGTAACTATAATAATATAATAATCACAAAAATTATGTTAAAATATGTAATTATATAGGCAAAAATTCAGTAAAAAATACATACCTGTCTAATATGATTTTCTGATATTGACTCTTCCAAACCACTATATAAGTGATCATATAATATATCAGTGAGGCCCTCACTTACTGCTGATTGTTCAACATATATACAGTACTGGATCAGGTTCTTGTTATAGAGTTCTTTAGCTTTATGAAGAAATGGCTCACAATTCAACTTATCAGCTTTCTTGGTCTCCTAAAAAAGTGATTGAGTAATTAATAAATATATTAATCAGAGTTCATAATATTTTTTTATTGCACTTTTTGCAAATTTAACCCACATTATAAAAACATGTGTTGAGGATGACAAATATTATGCTTGTAAAATCTACACCAATAGGTGAATTTTAAAGAATGATTATGGCAAAACATGAAAAAGTAACTGCCAATATGTATTTGTAAATCATCTTTGTCCATCCATACACAGGGTTTTAATGCTGTGCTTCAATATGTACAAAATGATAACTTCAGTTTCTTCTTGCATATTAATATTAACAATGTTACTCAAATTTCTTTGTAAGTAAAATACATTTCCAGTCCATACAGGGGGTTTTGGTGCCCTGCCTTGCAGTCTTGATGTACTTATCTTACTTCACAACATCTTAACTAGTCATCACATTTCAACTTTCATGTGTTGTTTGATTCATCATATAATCCACATGTTTTTAAATAAAAAAATGAATTTTTTTACCTTTTTTTTCATCTCAATCTGCCTACAATACATTTGTTGGATAAGATTAACATATTCATCTTGGTTTGGTTAATTTGATTTTTTGCACATAAAAATATAGTAAAATGTAACAATTTTTTCATCTTATTACTCTCATTACACAGCAATATATACTCATCTAATAAAGGTTCTAATAATCCGTTATTTAATTTGAAATTTCCTATCTCCATCTTTGTTTTTAAAAAAATATTTGAGGTAAAATAGGATTTATTTTTTTTATTTTTTAAAAAAATTTCCCCTTGTTGATCATCTCAAATTAATGACACACTATTTTTAATGTCACAACACTATAAACTCACATGATCCAAACGGTTAACAATAAGGATAACTATAAAAGAAAATGAACAATTAAATGTAAAATATACTGCATGTTTGCTATTTTTAATTTAACATATGTTTTTTTATTATAATTATATAATTAATAAATTTTTGTTGAATGGTAAATAAAGAAAACCTTGGCATTTAATCAACGCCCCAAGTAACAATCATATGAAACCTAGGGTCTTCTGAAACAATAATTCATGACGCGGGGCATAATAATAATTCATTATTCAAAGCATAATTCGTGACACAAGACATATAGTTTGTGACGCGAAACATAGTTTGTTAGTTTTTATTATCCCTTAAACGATTTTTAGACCAAATATGGTCTAAATTTCGAATTCTGTTTTTTCTTTACACAAAAAAGTTTT